TTTTAATTATTTTAGAATGTCTATAAAATCATTTGACGACTTACTCCATATTATAAAAGTAGATATTACCCAAAAGCGCGTGATCGAATATACAGCAAAATGGCGGCGTAAATCTAGAAGCGCCCGTAAAGCGCTGGGAAAACGCGCGATCGCATGTACAGTAACATGGCAGTACATATATCTCAAAGCACTCGGCTAACGCCCGCAAAACGCACGTTTTAACAAAAATCTATAAACGCGCGTTTAACGCACGCTTGGCCAAAAGCGCGCGTTTGAGTGTGTACGGCTACATAGAACTCTTGGTTCTTTAAAACGCGCGTTAAACGCGTGTTTAAAAGCGCGCGTTTAACGCGCGTTGAAAAACGCCTAGTGTGTACAGGCTCTATCTCTTCGATACCATGTCAGGATGACACCACTGTATCCTTAGGTCCATACAGAGACCACAAGTTCGCGCGAGCGTGACGTACAAGGTTTTGACCCGGAATGGAGTGAACGGAGAGAAGAACGGAAGAAGCTGCACTCAAAGTTGCTTTAAACATAAATAACCGTTTATTTATATGAAATCTAAGTTATACATCGGAATTTAAGCGGCTACATATCAGTTACGTGAATCGCGTTCATTCTAGTTCAATTCCTAGTTATAATCGAGTTCGCAATTCGTTTACGCGGAGAGAGAGAGCGTAAAATAGTGCGCGGGCAGGATAAATACCTTATATTATACTGTTGATCAAATAACTGCAATAAAGTCCCACAGTTCGAAGTTAAGTAGGCGAATTTGTTGATATCTTCGAGTTCAGGCGAGGAGGAGGAGGTGGTTGACGAACAGGAACAGTCTCTCTAAGAAAATCTCGGCGCGGCACACACACACAATCAAATAATTACTTCCAACCCGTTACTCATCGTGCCTGTCCTTTTTATACGAAGTCCTCTTTTTTGGGCCTTTCCCCGATTTCGTCAGGGATGATGATCTCCTTGGACCAAGAGGTGGCGGGTGACACAATCGTGACACAGAGATGTACTCATCTCAACAAGGAACCCAACTCGTGGGAATCGAGGGTTAACCAGATTTTATGTTTCCCTTATCTCTTTTAATTTTTTATAACTCGTTCCGTCTCAATAAAGTTGCATTCAAAGTTCAATTAAAATTTTGGAAAAATTTTAAAGTCTACAACACGAAATTTCTGACCCTCACATAATTATTCTTTTCACAACGTGTAATGGTTGTTTTCTTTTTTAAAAATTCATTCTTATGGTACATATTGTTAAGTATAATAAAGCCACTCCTTGCATTCATTATGCTCCTACACATACAGTACATACAAATGATATCAATATCTTCTGAAATAATATTATACCTTATTATAGAAACTTATATTTGAATGCCTGATTCTAAACTTTATTAATATAATAAGTTTTTTAAGAAAATCTGATAAGAGGTGGCGCCACACACAATTTTGAATTAAAAGCACGCCACTTCTGCTATTAAACCGCAAGTTTGTATATATTGTAGTTAATCAAGGCTTCCATATCCTCATCTATCTAATGGAAGATGGACGACAGTGGAATTTATGGGTCTACAATTGTTTCAAATTGCATCCAACCAGATTGCAAGAGCAAATCTGTCAATTCCTGAAGAAATGTTAATTGTCTTAATGACAAATTATTAATTTTCGCTGTCTTCATTATTTATTTGTAGTAGTGTAATAAACTAATTTTTTATAAAATTATTTTTAATGAATTTCTTTTTATGATTTTGGAAAGAGCATATTTATGACGAGGTATTTGATTGGTAAGTGTTTAATAAACTCGTACTTAGTTGAAGTCTTTGCAGATATGTAATTTGAAATTTTAAATGAAAATACGAACGCAAAACCTGTTAAAGTGATTACTTTTTTCTATAAAGTGATCACTTTAACAGGTTACATTTCAAGAAAACCAGGGGCCATATTCTGGTCACTGTCTCTGGTGTCTCGCAAGCCGGTTGCTGATTGGCTAATCCAAATGATTAGCCAATCAGTGACCGCTTGCGAGAGACGAGAGACCAGAGATAGTGACCAGAATACGGCCCCTGATCTAACAGTGGTCGCATTACACAATAAGCAGGTGATTGCTATACAAAGGGAAAAAATATCCCTAAAATCTACTGAGTAAATTTCAGGCTAAATAAAAGTGGTCACTATTGTGAGATTAGTTGGGGGTACGGAGTAGTTTATTATTCGTGTATCACTTAATCGGCGCAGATTTGAAATAATCTGTTCTCAGAGTTTCGGATTGAGAGATCCAATCTCTAAATCTTTTTCTAGGAGGGCTGTTAATAAAAAGAACGATCTAGAGGATAAATTCTAGATCTTGTCAGGATTCCTTGACATCAGTTAATCAGTTTTATAACATGCGGATTAACACGCGTTTGGAGATAATACGGATTTGATTCAGATAACAAATAAGAGACATTTCTTTAAACAAATAATGAAAGATTTAATAAAATAAAAGTAAATAAAATTACACAAATGGAATTATTCAAAAATAAAATTAAGCGAATGAGAGACAATGGATTAATTAAATATACGCTTCGAGAGAGAGAGCTCACAAATTCGTTTATAATCACACCACCTCAAGGTTTACTTTGTCTCTATGTTCATCTATATTCGATGATCCTACTTCATTGTATGGAGAGGTCTTGATTTGGCACAATATTAAAAGTTTCTTCTTTTACTCCTAAATTAACTCATTATTATACTCGATTGGATACTACTAAAGGTATTGGCCTTATGGAGACAATATATGGGAGACGTCTCTCCTCTATGAGATCTTCTGATATACTCCTAACTAAGGACGTTGGCCTTAGGGAGACAATATGGGAACTTCTTTCCAATATGAGACTCCCTGACGTACTCCTCGAGTCATGCAGATCTTTGACTATATCTCATGATTTGTGTCCAATCAGCTTATTTGTCTTCACTCACGTGAACGGATGAAAAGGGGAATTATTGAGGGGTCGGCAATTCCCAGTGTGGTGAGATTTGTGATAGATAAGTGGAAAACAGAAGGATGTGTCTGCTTCCGTTAAAGGAAGTGGCTCTTTTATCAGTTTTCCCACGTTAGAAAAACAATATTTTCACACCAAAATGAAATAATATTTTACTTTAAAAATTTTAACGTTATATTTAAATTGTTAATTAGACCTAGGGGTAATTCGGATCTCACATTACTCCCTTATCTTCAAAAATCACTCTAAAATTAAATGAGGCATGATTTTTCACATTGATAAACATATTTGATTCTCTCTCTGTTAGAAAATTTGCATTAAACAAAATGAAAATCTTAAAATTATATAATAATATAAATTATAACGCAAGTACATTGATATAATATAAATTAGTGTTGTAACGAATAGTATATTCGGCCAAACTATTCGGCTTGATTAACGCACGCACAAAAATTGGTGTGCAAACCGCATTATGGCAAAGATCCTGCTCTATTGGCCCGCTGTCACTACGCTTTGCCAATCGCGTTAATTCTTGGCAGTTGTAGCCGACAGACAAGAGTGTCATGGAAGTACAGTAGACCCCCCCTATAAGACAGGTTCCTATAATTACGATTCCTATAAGACGGCGAAAAAATTGTGGCGTATCTGTACACAACGGTAAAAAACTCCTATAATTACGTAAAACGTCATCGGGCAGCCAAACTACTTTCCTGCTGTCCAGTGCCACGCTATGGACAGTTTAGACGGGTAAATTGAGTTTAGTTTCGTCTGTACATATAATTATATATAAATTAGGTACTGTATATATAATTATATATTAACTTAATTTATTGTAACTTTATTATAATTATATATATGCTTTCCACCGTCTAGCGCCAGGCTACGGAGAGTTTAGGCGAACTATCGTTTGTACAGTATGTAAATTAGGTACTGTAAGTCTAATACAGTACTGTAATTTTATACATTTCGTGTGAAAGAAACATTCCTTATTCAACAGCGATTAAAATTATTTATATTAATGATGTCTCCAAAGTTCAACGAAGTTTTTGCAGAAAAATAACATCAGAAATCGCAGCCGTTGTTTGCTGAGCTGTTTTGCGACGAAAACAAGCTTGAGCAACGGTGATGTCGAATGGTGCACACTCGGTAAGTAATCCTACAATTTTTTGTTTATAGCGTAGTTTATACGGATTATTTCCAAAAAAAATATACGTATTTTGGAAATGTTGAGTCGGATTAATCTAGAATCAATTAATTTTATGGAAGAAAACTTTTCAAACAGCCGTAGTCCGTAAAGTGCATACGTGTCGGGCTGTGATTGGCAAGGACTCGTAAGAAATCGATTCATAAAGGACGGAACATATCTACCGTCTTATAGGGGGGTCGACTGTATGTGATAAATGATGATATCAAATGACCTACACTTGTAAATAATGGAAAAAGAACAGAGAAGGACCGCGAAGTGAAAATAAATAAATATGAAATTGAGTTGATAACATAATCCAACAAGTCGAGGCAGCTTATTGGCACGAAATTCGCGCCCGTCAATGCCAAACAATTGTTGTCATAGACTTCGGAAAGCTAAATGCTTGTAATGAAAGTCACTTAGCGTGCACGGGCGAAAGCCTGGGGCCGTTCGGGCTATCAAGCTGTCTCGAATCTGTGAAATCATAACTGTGACTTATATCGACGTCCTATCTGTCTCTTTTCTCTGTTATCATCAGGCTGAGGTCATGTAATTGTAAAATGGGAACTCTACGATGGAAAAGTGACAAAAATAGTACAAAAATAGAATTCTTTATACAAATTGCCAGTTGTAAATTGTATATTTGTACTGTAATTTATTAGAAAATAAATTGAATTAATAAAAATTAGATATTTAATTATGCTATTTTCAAGACTAATTATTTTTTTTATTGTTATGAAAACAACAAAAAATTAACATGTTTTTTGGAACACAGTTTTAATTATATAAATAAAAAATAACAAAACAATATTCTTTTTATAACACCATTCTTTTTATTTCAAATTTTATTTTATGTTTTGACAATTTCAATTTGAAACAAATTAAAAAAATTTATATGATATGTTTGCAGTAAATATGCTATGGCAAATGATGCGCACACATTTATTAAACACAATAAACCTAAATAATAATACACCTTATCAATTTAATAATAAAATCAATATACAAACAATTAAATACTACCAAAATATACATTACCGACAAAACAATAACATCGAAGCGTCGACTGTTAATCGACCAACCGCAAAATGTGGTATTTGTATTTGAGTGCATTTCAATTAAATTATATGGCATAACAATATTTGTGATTATGTTTAATACTAATAAGTCGTTTTATGTAAAACATTGGCATCTATTAAAAAAATGCAAGGCTTACATTAACATAAGCTTTATTTATGGACTGGAATTGATTTGCATTGTAAAAGGTAAGCATTTAAGATATCTATAAATTACAAAATTCTATAAAATATGATGACATATTTTCTAAATTTTAGATACAAAATCACAGTAGCAATGCATATCAAATCATGTTACAGTTAACTTTATCAAAAAGACATACTGTACTATATGCATATCAAAAAAGAATAAGATAAGTACATATTATGGAATACACAGAAATGGTGTTTTTACTTTTTCAATAAAAAGCTCCAATATAATCCCTTATAAACAATACACACAAAAATTTTCATACAATAAGACTGAGTATTGGATAGCTTTAAAGAAGAGAAGTTTTTAAATGGCAGTGAATAAATAAAAAATATTTTACAGGTAAACCTTATCCCTGAGTAACAAAAAGAACAAAAAAATGATTTGACCAAATTTCATTAATGGTTTTTTTGCCTTGGCACCACATCTTTGGAATTTTTGGTTTACAAACAATCGTTTTACTAAAACTACCATTCGGTAAGTATTAAACGATATTTTGCATTTAAATTACCATTTTGTTCATTCTGCAGTTTAAGATAACACCAAAGTCAAAATTATAAATTTAAAATATTCATATAAAATTATTTTTATACAAAAAGAAATTTACATTTCTCCTAATAAAAACATTTAAAAATTTCTTAGTTATTTTGAGGAAATTTTTCTTATAGGTGTATTAAATTTTTGTATTTTATTTTTACTATATTTGTTAAGATAACAATAATATTTAACATTTATTATTTTTACAGTTTTCACTATAAAAATTTTTATAATGCTGCCATAAGATGGTGGCAAATACTGACCAACTTTATTATGTTCACAAGAAAATGGCCATCATTAATGATAAAAATAAAATTAATAAGAATTATATCACACTACCATACATGCCTTAGGCTCAATGCAACAAAAATTCTCAAGACATCAACATTGATATTTCCACTTTGGTTGTCTGGGTGATGGCATTTATTTGACAGTTTAGTATTATGGAGATGATGGTTTCTTTTTAGGAGACTTCTTGCGAATGCAATTCTTTTGTGATTGAATTTGGTCAGTTATTTTCTGGATAAGTTCATTTAGTTCAGACTGTTTCATAAATTATAAACATCAGATTATTAGATTTACTTAATGATAAAAACCTACATAAATTTAAAGCTAACATTATTGAATGTTATTAACAAATTGTTATATATAAACTTTCAAATCAGTTACAACTAGAATAATAAGAGTTATTTTTAGAAATGGATCCAGTAGGACTAAAGTATAATAGAAGTTTACCAGTACTATACAAGGGAGGACCCAAAAAAAAAAAAACCAAACTGCGACTTTTCTCTCTTTAATGAGAGAAAAGTCGTAACATAGTAGGCGTATCGGAAGATGCTCCTGGAAGCAAGATTAAGCTTAATTAAAGTTTTTTATTTACATTAAAAAGATCCTGTGGGAATCTTGTTTATTATACTTTGATTTATATGTAAAAAGAATTTATTTTTTAGTAATGATTTGCGAGCGTGCTGCCATTCGTAAATGTAGTAGAGTTCTCCCGTTACATAGGGTTAGTAGAGACCTTCATGAAACAGCTGTGAAAACAGCGCCAGTTTGTAGGTTTACATTTGAGCGTAGTGTTATGTTTCTCTTACTGTTATTTTGTTCCACCTGCAAAGTTCTGGGCATCCTTCAACATCTTGAAACGATGAAAACGTTGAAAAAATCTGCCAAAAAAGTGTTAAGACGTCTGTGAGAGGATGTGCGAAGGAAACGCCCAGAACTTTGGGGATCAGGTGACTGGTTCCTTCATCATGACAACGCCCCCCGCATACACGGCCTTATGAGTGACCCACTATTTGGCCTCTCAGGGATGGCCTGTTGTTCCCCACCCTCCGTATTCATCAGACCTAGCCCCATGTGACTTTTTTCTGTTTCCAAGAATGAAGAAAATGCTAAAAGGGAAGTGTTTTGATGATGTGGAGGTGGTAAAAACAGCTTCCCTAAGGGCACTGGATGATATCAAGGTTGAAGAGTTCCAGAGATGCTTCAAACAGTGTGGAAAAAACTTCACAAGTGCATCGCATCTAATGGAGAGTACTTTGAAGGTGACTGAAGAAATTTTGTAAAAAAGTTAATAAATAAAGTTTTTATACAATAAATCCGTTTTTTTTTTTTGGTCCCCCCCACATATACAGTATTGAATAGATACAAAATACAGTATGTCTATAAGTCTGTGTGCACTTTTAAATATTAATAGTTTTGAAATTAAACATGGTAGAATTCATCTGTAAAAAACACTTACAAGTCCAGCCTTTGTAGGTTTTTCTTGTTATTTCAAAAATTAATTATTATTATTCTTGCCAATTATTATATTGCAAATGTCATGCTCAGTTGATACTGGTACCAACTGCTATGCTATGCCGGACTAAAGTCAGGCATAGCACTTGGTGCAAAGTGTAACATTAAGTATGTGTGTCAACATCTAGAAACTTCCTGACAATGTGACATATCTTCAATATTGCAGCTTTCTGTAGTGTCATGTATATGTTTATATTAAGGTTTAATGTTTCTAGGCTTTTGTGTAATGTATCTGGTATAATAACAGTAGAAGAAAGGACAACAGGTACAATAAATACCTTATCCATCTTCCACAGTTGTCTTCTTTCTTGAGTGAGTGGAGTGTACTTGTTGATTTTTTCAATGTGGACAATTTTTATGTTATGAGTGTTTGGAACAGAGATGTCTATTATATAAGCGATCTTACTGCATTTGTTAATGAGAGTGATGTCAGGTCTATTGTGATGAATTGTTTTATCTGTGATTATGGCTCTGTCATAGTATATTTTGTGTGTATCACTTTCTAATACTGCCTGTGGAGCAGTATTAGAAAACATTAGAAACACAGATTACAGTCAACCCCCCCNTCTTCTATATAATCATCATTCATATTTAACTATATCTATTTTATTACAGATAAATATCAATGACGAAGAGTAGAAAGTTGATTCTCTTCATACAATAGAAAACAGTTTGATTCAAAACATCAAGTATTTTCATTTTAAATTACTTTCATTACTTACATTTATACGCACGCATATATACATACTGTATATATGTTTCCAAATATCAAATAAATAAATATTTATTTATTTATTTTTATAATATAATTAAAAGCTACGGCAAAATCATAAACATTCATACTTAACTCCTTCATAAAGCCTCTCATCACTCTACATAGATATTGCATTGAATTTCAACACAGAAATGAACATGTGATTGGGCTCTTCTAGTGGGAGAATGTTCCGGTCTGTAACAGTACAGAACCTTTGCAAGAATTTTAGTGTATTAAAGATATATAAAGTGATATATGGTGAATTCTTCTCTTTTGTGCCTCTAAAACATTGTTCTATGAACCTACTTTCAAGTGCATATGCGACGATAAGGATGTTTTATGGATCCAAATTAAAAGGTTACCAACTGTAACTTAAATGTGAACTGAATGTTTAAGTGTTTCTTCTAAGCATCACTCAGACTTTTAGCATGATGCTATATGAATTAACTGTTTAAATTTCTAGGAATTTGTGAAGAAATCTTCCAGTTTAGAATTTGCTAGAGCAAGGACTGTTCACGATGCAGGATGAATGTTTCGAACTCTGAGTGTAAACATTTAGTTCCTGACAGCCTTAATATTTTTCTGCTGATAAAAATTGTATTATTAATTGTTATGTGTTTATTTTATTTCTGATGTAAATACTTTGTTATATACACTATCAATGCAGTTATCATATTTTGTATTTTATTCTGTTACATATTATCTCTTATTTATTGTATAACTTTCATACACACTGTTGTGCCCTCCTCAACACGCAGAAAATTTGTCTCACGTACTATAACAATCTCTTTTCTATATGAAACAACACTTATATACTTAATCTTTAGTTTCCTAATTTGTAAACTTATAACATATATACCAACCTCTCATTGTATTACTTTATGCTATGTGGAACCAGTTATGTAATGTTGGTTACGGCATTAAAAGATTGTGTGTGTGTGTGTGTGTACATGCAGGCAGTATTTGTAGTATGCTACCTGGGTGTTTAATAATCTGTGTTTGTGTGAAAACTTTGTGTATTATACTGTATTTGCTATTTGATTATGCCTGTCTGTGCTAAGAGCTTGCAACCAGAAGTTATATGCTGTATTGTTTCTGGCAGAATGTGGAATATTCTGTAAGTCTTTTGTGAGTGATGTATCCTTCAGGATCTGTTTTTGATAGTTTTTAGTGTTTATGACCTGATCTTGAATGGCAACCATAAAACCCTCATTCTCTCCAAACAGGCAGCCCCAAGTCAGCTAGTAATTGATGTAGTTTTGTCAACATAGTCCTGAACTAAGTCATAGGTATGCCTGCCAAAACGTGCCTTTTGGGCCCATGACTGCTCAGTGGTATCTATGTTTTCTGTAAAAACTCCCAGTGTCTGAATTTGTTTGTAGTACAGATTAACTATATTAGTGAGGCCATGGCCACCTTCTTTATAATAAAGAGTCGTTCTATGCACGATTTTGGGTGATATTGTTTATGCTTAGTAAGTGTTCTTGTTTTCCTTTGGAGTTGCTTGAGATCTGTATATGTCCAGTGTATAACTCCAAAAGAATAAGTGCGTACAGGACGAACATACATATTAATAGCTTTAATAGTATGTTTTGCATTTAGGTGTGTTTTTAGTACTGCATGTAATCTGTTCTAGTATTCAAGTGTTAACCTTTGTTTTATCTGTGCTTGTTCTGTAAGTTTGGCCTGTTGGAATCCTAAATATTTGTAAAACTTGCACTCTTCCATGGACTCAATAATATCTCCACTTGAGTCACACAATGTCACCTTTCTTCAGAAATCCTTTTTCAATTTGCAGTGTTTTGCATTTGTCTAGACCAGTGGTTCTAAGCCTTTTTGTACCCATGGACCCCCATAGACATTGCATAGGAAAAAAACCTTATATTTTTCACTAATAAAAAAAGAAAGGAAAACATTCAGAAATGCCAGTCAAGTGAAATGATGCTGATGGTATAAGATTCTCCTAAACAAACCACAGCTTTATAATCTCTCTTTGACCTTTTTCAATGAGACATATATGTCATATACATATTCAATATTCTAAATAATTTATATTTTAACCCTTATGCAAGAAATGAATAATAAAGAAGTTGACAATATATATACTGTAGAAATTTAATTCTCAGTAAAACAATTGTTCTGCAGTAGAATTACCCTAAAGACCACTAAAGTATCACTGTGAACCCCCAATTCGATATTTTTTTCTCTGGATCATGTGGATCCTGGTTGAGAACCACTGGTCTAGATCAAACTTCATTTGTATGTGTGTAGTTTGTAAGAGATGATGAAGCTGATTTTGTGTGGATGTATAAAGTTTGATATTGTCCATATACATGAGGTGTGATAATGTGAATAGTGTTGTTTTGTTGTGTCTGATATTGTAGACATATTGTGTTTTATTCAATGTGTTAGATAAAGGTTTAAGCACTAAACAGAACCAAAGAGGACTCAAGGAATCCACTTGAAAAATTCCTTGCTTGATGTGAGTTTGATTTGTTTTTATGTAGATTAAGATTTAATGTTCTCAAGTGGAGCATGGTAGAACCAAGGAAACTAATGAGTTGAGGATGGATTTTATAGATGTAAAGTATGTGCATCAGCCAAGTATGAGATGAGGATATTATTGTGAGAACAAGTGATGTAACTTGTCTGTTTCAAGTTTTGTGATGATGTTGTAAGTACGGATAATAAACTTGTGTATTTGTGATATCCATTTCATTCATTGGCATGGTTTACCTGCCTTAGTGGTCTGTGGCTGGATTGCCTCAGAAACATCAAAGTTCAACTGGTTTCTCACAACTGGTGTGAGCATTGCAGTAGCCATACTTGGACCAATGATGCTTTCACCGCTGATGGCTGAGGGAGATTGTGACACATTTTTCGAATGTGAGCACCTGCCTAACTCACAAGTGTGGATCTTGTTAATCCGGGTGAAGTCTGAGCTGGTATTACATTTGGATCATGTTATTACAATCATTACATTGCCACAGATGTGGGTTCAGTCACTCTTGGCTTCATTTCTCCCCACAGACCTCACTGGCATGGGTGACACTACCAAGAGCAGATACTCCAGCTAGCATAGCTCTGTGGTTCATCAAAATTACCGAACTCTCATCACAGTAAGGTGGTGACTGGCAAGAGGGCAAAGTGACTTTTCTTTTCAGAATTGTTATTGACCTATGAACCATTCTTTGGACATAAATGATTTATTTCACTCAGCCAACCAAATAACATTAAAAAGTGAACATGGACTTTATAGACATCCTGTATATTCAAATGCATGAAAAAAATTATTTAAATTTTATAAAATATAGGAAAATTTTTTTATATCTAATAAACTTTATTGTGTGAATTTAAAACATTACATCAATACTTATAAATTTACTTACTTGATCATAAGTATACATTAATTTACAATATTTGAGATTCTTTTTCTTTTGTATATGTTCACAAGCATGATGTAAGCAATAAATTGCTTCTTCTTGTGAATTCACAACCTGTTTAATAGTTTTTAAAAAATATATTTTTCTGTTTTATTTTTTATAAAAATATTATTTATAATATACTAACCATTGATACATAACAGTGGCTACGACAGACTTCACATTCTTGCTCGTTATCTTCATCTGATCCCCGAGAACGTTTCTTTTTGTCTTTGACCTCTAAGAGTGGCAAACGTTCTGATGTTTTCAATCCCAAATCATACAACTGCTTTCTTAATTGTAATTCTTCATCTCTATATTACAAATTTAAAAATAAAATAATCAAAAAATTAAATCTATTTACATTATATTTTTGTATATTAAAATATTTATCAATAGTTATTTATTTGCATTCATCAACACAATTTTATTACATATATTTTAAATGTTTTTTATTTTAAAATTGTAAATATCCATAATTTAACATGTATACTTTTTTGAAACCTAAAAACATTTTTTCTTATGTTTCATTCAATGTTAGTGATTTATTACATTACATCTAATGATATAATAAATCATTAAAATCAGTTTATTTTGATGATTTTTAAATAAAATCCATAAGAAATCACTAACAATTAATAAGTGTTACCAATCAAATTTTACAGGAAAACACAGGGTCTTCCAAAAAGAATGCTACCATTTTAAATTATGTTAATTATTATCTGAGAACATTACAATGTACATTAAAATAAGTTTCACATTTGCCTATTACAATTTCTCAATGTATGCACTTCATGTCACCATGTCGTACATCTAACCAATACTCAAATTCTTCCTACACTCGCTACAGTATATCTATTGTAATTTCCTCCCACAGAAACTACAATTCTATAGCTCCTGTAGATTACTCATGTTGCACAATAATGAATGATTCTGACTTTGCAAATTGTAGAACATAAAATGCCTTATCTGTTGTAGAGTTTCATTTGTTTATGGCATTTCTTAAAGATAGTAAATAACGAGACATTTGAATGCAGATGGGAGATGACATTCTTAATACTTTTTATAAGTTAGCAGACTAATCGTGGTGTAATATTATTTAACATACAACATATTTGTTAAATAAAATAAAATAGGATTGATTTAATAATAAAATGATAAAAGATACAATTAATAAGTATATCCTGAAAGTAAAAAATGAATTTAAATTTATAATTTTTAACAAATATTTCAGTAACAATAAAAAATAATCATAATATGAATACAGGATATATTTATTTATATATCTAGTTTAATTCTTTTCTAAATTTTCTACATGTTTTTATTATATTCAATGGTTTAACGAATGATCCCTATAACTGAGGAATCTTTTATAGAAACAACAAATGCAACTTTTACAAAAATTATTCTGACATGTTTTGCAAAATCATTACAATAAATTTACAATTTTAATAGCAGATAGGAATAGATATTTTCTGAGAAATTAAGAAATCATACCAAAAATGAGCATGGTTAACTGACAAAATTAACATTGAAGTTTTCTGCACAAGTAAATTAAGTGTAAATACTGTTGACTCAAATACTGAAGTATTTTTCAGAAATGCAAATTGCATTTCATATTTGATGATATTCCAATCATTTTTTGTAGATTTGTACAAATAATATGGTTAAGTAATTTTCTCAAAACAGATAGTATATATTATGATTTTAAAAAATCAGGAAAAACTGACCTGAATAATTATAAAGCAATAGTGTTACTATTTCTCTGTACAATCCAGGAATCTCCTCTTTGTGATACAATTCATTAAACATTTGTTATATAATAAACATATAGTTTTTCATGTCTTCAATAATATTTTTGTCAATAGTATTTTTTTTTTTTTTTTTAATTTTTTTAATATTAGTTTCCAATTTAGTTTAAGTAATTAAATCATCTAAAATTGGGTCATAGGCTTACAAACTAGCCTGTATGTTAGAAAAAAGAGTTTCAATGTTTCCAATATAATTTACTTTTTGTACATTCTCAAAGTTTATCAATTGTCAAAGGATAAAGGGTAAGTTTCTATAACTTTTCTAATTCTGTATTTTTTAATTATTTTTCATAAAGAAAAATCATTTAGTTAAATGATATTTAACTAAATTTCTCCTCTTTTATCCTATTTTGAGCCTAGCAATTCTTGATAGTTATAAAGGCATGAATTTGTATCAAATATTTGTATCCACTATAACTGAAACATGATCATTGAAATCTCAAGATTATTATACCCTTTATGTTTAAAGTACAAACAACTAGCTCAACTTAAATCATTTTCCCAAACAAACTTAAAGTCATTTCAAGCTTTCTTATAGGTCTGCCACAAGTTCAAAAACAAAAATCACAGAAACAGATATCCAAATGTGTGATATTATTTTTTTCTTGATAAGTATATGCTTCTTTAATTTAAATATTTTGAATAACAAAAGCATACATTTCAGAACCTCCATTGTTTTCATAATTGAAACAACAAAATTAATGTCATGTTGCCAACAACAACAATAATAAGAATAAATGTTGGATAAAATATGTATCTGAAATACTTATTTAAAATTTATATTTTAACCTGAAATTACAGAAATGAAATTATTTGCAATGGTTTATTAAAACTAAACAAAATTTTCATTTTATTTAAAATGTAACATAATGTATAATCACTAGAGGATGATGTGAAATAAATTACTTGACTTTTTTCAATGTGAATGAGTAGTTAATCCTGTTAGCATTAATTCAACTTAACTTAATCCTACTTAACTACTAAACCGAGTTAAAAATTACAGTATTATACTCAAATAAGGCAGTGACAATTTATTTACTATTTAAACAATTTAATTCATATTGAAAGTTCTCTGAAGAGTGAGAATCAATAATTGGCATTCATATCTATCTGTAAGATCTAAATTAGATTTACACATTACTAAATATTATTGAAGAGTTTTTAAATAATAATTCAGTTTATCCCAAATTGTTATCAACAGACAAAATTAATTCTCTTTTGGAATGTCCAAAACAATGACTATGACTATTTGTGGACAATGACTCTAAACAGTAATATTTCTCNGGTACAAAAAGTTTTTATAAAGTGGATAAGACACAGTTGGAATGACATACAACATATTCCATACTAGATTTTCAATCCGTTTACAATTGGCAGTTTAAATTTTGGTCTTCAGAAGTTTGTTTATCCTATAGTTAACAAGTACAGCATATGTTTAGAATTATTAGAAAATGGCTTTCCAAGTATCTACAAGAACTACTATTTTATAGTTGTTCAACTTTAAACCTTACATTTAAATAAGCTATTAATGTCCAAACCATGGATATTCCAGAAGTTTATTTTGCAAGAATTAATTTCCTGTTCTCTCTTTCTTTTTTACTATTTTTATTTTTATTGTTATTGATATCTGTTGCTATTCTTAGAATGATTACTTTTATTCTTTTTCCTAAAGATTATTTACTTCAAACGGTTTAAGTAGGTTTTCATCATATATGTATTAGTTCATTCTGAAATAATGCATCATCTCTTTTGAAAGAACTTCTACGTTTATAGGTTTATCTTTTAAGACAGGAAGTATAGAATTTTTCATTTACAAAAAGGACTAATAAGTTTCATTAGTACAGGAAGACCCCGCTTAACACTGATTTCATATAACACGGTCTGCTTAAAGCCTGAAAAAAAGCTCAAAATTTACACTGATTTAAATTATTGCGGCATTTTATTGATTCGTATATAATATGATTATTCCCAAACACAAACCAATCAGCAAAAGGTAGCAAAAAGGTGTACTTTCTTTAAATCTATGTTTGTTTGGTGCAATTTTGGAAATAATATAACATCACAGATGCCATAGGCAATATTGGCTTCACTTGGCAAGAATTAACTGATATGCACGAATGAAGTGTGGAAGAAGTTATGGCTGAAGGTATCCAAGAATTCTCAACGAGAAGAGCCTATTGCTGTATCATTACCAAACTCAACCTTATCGATACAGCAAGACTAGGAGATATAGACGAGCAGGATATTGAGGAGTTACAGCAAGTTTCTGGTGAGAGCCTTCAAGAACTGGCAGAACTTGGAATTCATGTGGAACTGGAAAATAGAGATTCTGAAATCTGTAGACAACAAATTTCTCTACAGATTTCCTTAGTAAATGTTTGGTAACGATAACCAAAATAGTTGATCAAATTGTAGCGAATGATCTAGATTTTGAAAGAAGTACAAAAGCAAAATGAGGTGTTTTGGATGTGATCTTCTGCTACCGACATTTGCTTAAGGAAAGAAAAAAGCAACAAATGAAACTTTGCAAAAGAACAAGAATTTCAGAAAAGTCATCACAAAAAATGAACTTTACATTTCTGTGTGCATATGTTTATGTGTTATTTAACATATTATTATACAAATTAATATAAAAATAACTTAAATTAAAGTAAAATTTGTTTATTTTTGGTCGCGTGTTCCCCTATCCCTATTTACTCTGTGTTAAAATGATCTCGTTTAATGCTGTTTCGCTTAGCACTTTGTTGTCTAGGAACACATCCCTTGCGTTAAGCGGAGTCTTACTGTATTTTTAATTTTGATGAAGTGACATTTAGAAATAAGTTTTTCTGCAAGCAATACAATTTTTTTTTGCTGAATGTTCTAGTCAAAGTCAAGAAGGAATTAGATTATATTTTAAAATGATTAATAAATTATTAAAATTAATATAAACAACACATTTTAACATAAATGCAAATGCTGAGTGCAGCATAAATATTTTAAAAATATATGTATTTATCTGTGGTCTTTCTTGATTTCCTTTTTTATATGAACAACATTAAATAATAATTAGTTCAGATTAACCAGAGTGCATTTTACTTTGTATAATCCATTTATGTAAATTCTTGATGACAGTAGTGTTTGATCAATATAAAAATAAAATAGAGTATGCTCTAAATCAGCGTTATTCAAATACTGATTTAGAAAAGTTTAAGAAAAATCCCAAAAGATCTTTTCCACACAATGTGCAAGTGCTGTCACATTTACTTCTTCATGTTTTTATTTTACTACTGATATTATTATTGCTATTATCTTGTTTATTTATAAATTTAATGTTTTAAATTATTTTATTTTATCTTATTTACATAAGCTGCATGCATTACATAAGTAAGATAATATTACTTTGCACTTAGAAAAAAGACATATCTAGCCTATAGTCTCAGATAGTTTGAAAAGTATTACTCTAAATTATCTCAATCAACTTATAAATACATATAGTCATATATATCTTATTAGTGAAATTTATTGTTAAAAACATTTGAATGTTATAATTTATATCAAAGTTATATTGAAAATCTTACCTTATTTCTTCAATCATTGGTAACATCTTTTGTAATGTTTCTACTTGTGTTCTATTGTCATTTGCAATACAGAAAAACAATCTTTCTAAAGAAAATGCTGGTGGTTCACAGCTATTTCTGATATCCTGAAAATTGAAATATTCAATGATTATTTTAATGGAAAAAAAATGTTTGCATAATAATAAAAATACACTTAAATCATTTTATTATTATGTTTATATTATATGTAAAATTAATCTCTTACAATATAGTATATGATGGAAAACTAGGGATGCTGCAAGAACTTACCAATTAAACACCTATTATTTTATTGCTCAAATAAAATAATAGGAGCAATAATATTATATATATTAAAAGAAAAAGATTATAAATGGACCAGGTAGTATTATTGAATATAATGTTAATGATGATGTGATCATACAAGTACTTGGCTGCTGTCAGTTTATTATTTACTTATTTACTATACGAATGTAGATGCAACATGATCTAACCATTCTAATATCTTTGCTGAAATATAATGGTGGTATTTAGGCTTTATCTTAAAATATTTAAATGGCCAAATGTCTTGTGAAAGCTACATGTTACTAACAAGTCATGTTTTGGTCATTATTAATAAAATAAATGTATTTAAGTTTACACAATAAAAATATTTAATGAACAATAAGTAGAAAGCTTATGTACAAGATCAACTGTGTGTTTATTTATTATCAAGTAACAATTTCTTCATTATTCTCATATCTATAAAATTCAAATTCAGCTAATTTAAATAAGCTATTAATCATCTAAAATTGGGTCATAGGCTTACAAACTANAAAATTTGTTTATTTTTGGTCGCGTGTTCCCCTATCCCTATTTACTCTGTGTTAAAATGATCTCGTTTAATGCTGTTTCGCTTAGCACTTTGTTGTCTAGGAACACATCCCTTGCGTTAAGCGGAGTCTTACTGTATTTTTAATTTTGATGAAGTGACATTTAGAAATAAGTTTTTCTGCAAGCAATACAATTTTTTTTTGCTGAATGTTCTAGTCAAAGTCAAGAAGGAATTAGATTATATTTTAAAATGATTAATAAATTATTAAAATTAATATAAACAACACATTTTAACATAAATGCAAATGCTGAGTGCAGCATAAATATTTTAAAAATATATGTATTTATCTGTGGTCTTTCTTGATTTCCTTTTTTATATGAACAACATTAAATAATAATTAGTTCAGATTAACCAGAGTGCATTTTACTTTGTATAATCCATTTATGTAAATTCTTGATGACAGTAGTGTTTGATCAATATAAAAATAAAATAGAGTATGCTCTAAATCAGCGTTATTCAAATACTGATTTAGAAAAGTTTAAGAAAAATCCCAAAAGATCTTTTCCACACAATGTGCAAGTGCTGTCACATTTACTTCTTCATGTTTTTATTTTACTACTGATATTATTATTGCTATTATCTTGTTTATTTATAAATTTAATGTTTTAAATTATTTTATTTTATCTTATTTACATAAGCTGCATGCATTACATAAGTAAGATAATATTACTTTGCACTTAGAAAAAAGACATATCTAGCCTATAGTCTCAGATAGTTTGAAAAGTATTACTCTAAATTATCTCAATCAACTTATAAATACATATAGTCATATATATCTTATTAGTGAAATTTATTGTTAAAAACATTTGAATGTTATAATTTATATCAAAGTTATATTGAAAATCTTACCTTATTTCTTCAATCATTGGTAACATCTTTTGTAATGTTTCTACTTGTGTTCTATTGTCATTTGCAATACAGAAAAACAATCTTTCTAAAGAAAATGCTGGTGGTTCACAGCTATTTCTGATATCCTGAAAATTGAAATATTCAATGATTATTTTAATGGAAAAAAAATGTTTGCATAATAATAAAAATACACTTAAATCATTTTATTATTATGTTTATATTATATGTAAAATTAATCTCTTACAATATAGTATATGATGGAAAACTAGGGATGCTGCAAGAACTTACCAATTAAACACCTATTATTTTATTGCTCAAATAAAATAATAGGAGCAATAATATTATATATATTAAAAGAAAAAGATTATAAATGGACCAGGTAGTATTATTGAATATAATGTTAATGATGATGTGATCATACAAGTACTTGGCTGCTGTCAGTTTATTATTTACTTATTTACTATACGAATGTAGATGCAACATGATCTAACCATTCTAATATCTTTGCTGAAATATAATGGTGGTATTTAGGCTTTATCTTAAAATATTTAAATGGCCAATTGTCTTGTGAAAGCTACATGTTACTAACAAGTCATGTTTTGGTCATTATTAATAAAATAAATGTATTTAAGTTTACACAATAAAAATATTTAATGAACAATAAGTAGAAAGCTTATGTACAAGATCAACTGTGTGTTTATTTATTATCAAGTAACAATTTCTTCATTATTCTCATATCTATAAAATTCAAATTCAGCTAATTTAAATAAGCTATTCTTTACTAAGTTTACATTTATTTAAAATTATACAAAATTTACAAATTTATTTTAAAAAATATTATTAATTAATTATACATACATTAAAAAAATATATAGGATTTTAAAATTTATAATTTTAGAATGTTTAGAAACTCCTAAAAATTTTTAATTTTATATTTGAATAATCTTAATTTAATAATTTAAATTTGTAAAGCTTTAATATTCGATTTTGTGATTCATTTAAAACCTTGTATTCCATTTATAAAGTTTGGTTATAAAGTTATTTTGACAAATACCTTTCAACTGTTAAACCCAACAGTTTTTTGTTTGGACTATCAGTATTTCATTTGTGTTGTTGCTTGTGTATTAATACATATAATAACATGCAATTATAGTATTTAATTTAGTATTGTAATCTTAATAAATCTTTGATAATGAAATGAAAGAGGAGAGAATAAAATCTACTTTCCTATTAATAAATTAACAAATAATATAATTATATAAATTAAATTGTAACTTACTCTAAAAGCATTCTGGGCCATATCTAGCCAATAAGGAGGAGCAAAATAAACAGATTCTGATACAGTATAACCACAACAAATAGTTGATGTAAAAGCTCCTGGAAAAATAACAATAAATTGTCCACTATCCTGAACTGTTCTACTTAGTGTTGCACCATGTTCAACAAGCATATCAGGAGGTACCTTTTTAAAATACATTTAATATATATAAATATTAGATTTTTTAAAAAAAATTTATATCTTAATTAAGAATATGTTTTAAATATTACCATAGCAGTGTCAGAAGGAAGCCAAATTGGATTGCTAGTACAACAATCTGGCATTATTTTTTTCATTGCTTCCCTAAATTTATTGCAACAAGCTTCTGGTGTACTGTACCTAATAATAATAATAATAATAAAATATTTTTATTCTGTAGATAAAATTATGTATAGAGAGATGTATAATCAATAAATCATTAATATTAATATGTAATTCAATAAAATTTAAGACAATTCAATACACCAAATGGAGAAAGAGGACATATTGAAAATTACATATGAAAGACTGTAAATGATTTTAATGACATTTAATTCAGTATGTGTAACAGTCAGGTTGAGACTAGTATGAGTATAAAGTGTTCTATACTACAATATGTATCAATGCTCATGATCAAAGGATTGTCTGTGCATTTGAATAAAGTGTTGCACATAATGTAGGACTTTTCATGTTACCTCTGCAAGAGTTGCATGTGGAATGTTGTGAAGAACAGTACAGTCATTATTGCACCTGAAACAATAAGAACATTGATTATCTCCATTTGGCAGGTGATTTTTTTGCCATACTATAGTCAGTTATAGACAACAGATACATACCACTGTGGGATGATATAAAACTCTCATAAACAGTTTTCAATCAAAACTTGTTTATTTGAAACTGTTTTTTGAAATGTTATCAGAATTTTGTAATTAAAATGCTGATAACCTTTTTGACATTAGCAATACCAGATCACTGGACACCCCTATACAGGGCACTGTAGACATCATCTACTTATTGTTAGAATTGTAGTTTTAATTTCATTCATGTAAATGCATTTCTTTACAATTCTAGAAAGATTATTATCGTACTGTTGTACAATAATAATCTTTCTAGAATTGTAAAGAAATGCATTTACATGAATGAAATTAAAACTACAATTCTAACAATAAGTAGATGATGTCTACAGTACCCTGTATAGGTACAATAATAATCTTTCTGTAACACAACAGTACAATAATAATCTTTCTGTAAATATATATATTTTCAACACTTATTGTAAAACTATAAAACTATTTACTTTCAAATTTTAAATGTGTTCTGTTTCACATATTCTAGTTTGATTTTGTTGTTCCTGAAAACATTATGTTGAAATATTGTTTAATAAAATGTTTAATTTATAAAAAATAATATTCGTGATCATACAAGTACTTGGCTGCTGTCAGTTTATTATTTACTTATTTACTATACGAATGTAGATGCAACATGATCTAACCATTCTAATATCTTTAATATAATTTTTAATATTTAACTTATCTTCATTTTTGAAATTTATATTTGCATAAAATTTCAAATGTACATCTGAACTTTATTAGTATTTTACATTTATAATAATACTTATAATATTATATTGATAGCAATTATATTTATCCAAAATTGAATTTATTAATAGTTTCATGGTTTGAGTTTTTAAATAATATAAAAATAAAAATGATAACTAATTTGAAAAATATTATTTAAATATAACCATACCAAATTTTACTGGCACCTGTGTGCAAATACTCAATCCATGGCAATGAATGAGGATCTCGATACCAACAGCCTGTTGTAAATAACATTCCTACATGTAATGTAGGAATAGTAACACCTAAATAAAAATAATAAAAACTTTTCAATTAAGCATTAAAATTACACAAAAGTCATACTTTTAATTATAAAATTACCAGAAACTGGGCCCATGCAACGAAGAATGGAACCTGGATTGTTTGTTAGAACCTTTAAATTCCAAGGATGCCTAGAGAACAATTGTTTTAATAATTGAATATACTAGTTTATATATTTGAACAAATTTATTTTAAAATATATAAATAATAAATTCTGCAATTTAACTTTTATCAGTGTTGGGCTCATTTGAATGAAAACAATTGATCATTCAAATGATTTACTCAACTCTCTTTGATACATTTTAACCTTAAAATAAAGAATTGATTACTCAAAACATTATGAGAACTCTTCAGTCTGCAATCAAACTTTTGTACTAAAAATTATCTTTGCCTTCAATAATAAATTATCGAAAGCAAAAATTTACTTACAAAGGATGACTTTGTACATGCTGAAAAAATACTATACTATTCAACTATCATTTTCCATTCTGGACAGTGACAGACATCACACAGGAGTAATATGAAGGAATTCAACACCCAGGGTCTTGGGAATAAAAAACACCACACTAGACATTCTGACAGTTTCCTTTTGCATATTGTAAGAAAAAATAAAAATATTGGCTAATTAAACAAGGTATTTAGGTATGTCTTGATTTACTTCCTTAGAAGACAATTGATAACAGTTTCAGTTATTAAACATATTTATTTCAAATAAAAATACTTTGATTAGATTAGATTGGATTAATGTAACAGGGAAATATAACACATGGGTGGTATGTCAAGATTTGGTGCCTCCTGAAAGAATTTTCTTTAGGAAACTGGCCACTATTTAGGTGTTAGATATATGAAGAAAACCCAAAAAAACATGTGGCCAGTCCACTGGTCAAGTACAAACATGCAACCAATTACCAGTGTTCAGTGGTTAAAAACACTTGCAACTATTTAATAATTTCACAAATTAATAAATTATTTTTTAATTACATTTACAGTATTACATTATTAATAAAGAAATTTTAAGAACAGTTTGAAGATTTTCATGTTTTATGAAAAACTGGAAAATGTAAAGTAATTCTTTCATTTTAGCATTAAACATTTGAAAAATTGCAACATCTTAACTGAAAGATATTTTACAGATTTGAATGATTCATTTGAATGATCCTTTGATTATTCAAATTATTCAATTAAAAAAAATCATTAAAATAAACCCATCACTAATTTTTCTCTTAATTTAGCCACATACAAATATTCTATATTATGCACTTTAAAAATGACCAAAAGAATCTCAAATTGAAATACAAGAATATTAGGAATAAAACATCAATAAATAATAAAACTGAATATGAAAGATTGACATTTTAATTATAATTATATTTTTTCTATCAGTTGTTGGAAACATGTATTTAAAAAAATAATAATAAATGATAGAATTTAATGAATAATTTAAATATTAAAAAATACATAATCTTATGCATTTATTTTATAATTGCCATATATCTTAAGTACATATAAGAACAAGAAGAATGAAATTTTCTATAATCATTATTGATTTTATTTACTTCAAATATTAACATAGTAAAAAATCTAGCCACAAAATTCACCACTAGACTAGTAGAAAATTATGTTCTAATCAATGAATTTACAAAGCAAAGAATTTTTTTTAATATGATACAAACTTATATTTCTTTCTTATTTGGCAAAAATCTGTAGTTCATTAGGCACAGATTTGTTTGGCAATATTAAATGCCAAAGTATTTTTAAAATAAAAAATTTTTTATACTTGTATTATAAAACCTGTTTTAATTTGTTTGTTTTTCAAATATATTTTAATAAGATAGTATGCTACAAAGTTTAATTTAAAATTTTGCTTATAGATATTACTATCTCAAATATAATATGAATATCTGGATAATGAATATATATATATATATATCTGAATATAATATGAATAATGAAATAATAATTTGTTACATATTTTTCCATTATTCACTAAAAGTAAATAATTGCATTTATTTGGCAATCACATTAAGACAAGAGTATATCATCTATTTTTCTAGGAACCAAAGTAAAAAATTTGCTATTATTATATCTGTTTAAATATAAACATGTATTTGTATTTAATTATTAAAAATACATTTAAATATATAAAAATAACTTATTTTTATAATACATACTTAGAAAATAAACTATTTTTATTGCATGGAAATCCACTTCCATAAACACTACTATCTATATTTCCAGCATGGACCACTAAATGTCGAGCTCGTTCTGTTACAATTTTCCAAAATTCTTGCTGAAAAACAATGACTTCACATTATATAAAAACATATTCTTCAACTAAAATAATGATTTTATTTTAAATATAATATTATAATATGGTTGACAAGAAATGTTCAGATGTCAATAAATGACAGTAATTATCAATTAGCAACAAATTAAATTTCATTATTATACAATTATTAGTATTTTCCTTTTATTTATATAGAGTTCTTAAGATACTAAAATTACTAAAAACTATTATATTTGAAAAAAAAAGCTTAGTTAATTAATGAAATTAATTCAATTTGAAAAATGTATCAAAGAATTAGCAATAAAAAGTTATCTGACAGAAGCATTATATTAGTTAGATAATATTGTGTTGAAGATTGTTAATATATTAATTCGGGAAATAAACAAATAATAATAGTAAGAGAAGCACAATTTGAAGAATGATGATAATATAAACATTACAAAATAGAGTTCTAATGGTTGATTTCTTTCTATATGAAGATCATTTGATAAGTTATGGCAACTGTATTTTATCTCAAAAACTGTAAGAGATTTTTAGAAGAAAACAAATGCACGTTTAAATTATATTACAGAACTTTTTAAAATAATTTGAAACTGATACATACAATAATAATGCCATAATGACATCTTCAAGTGAAGCATCTTGCAAGAACCACCCAGATTTTTGAATATATGAGAATATCATTTCATTTGGAGCAATGAAACTACTAAAAGTTTTTGTTAAATGTGGATTAACTGAAAAACAGTGTCATGAAGAACCAGTAGAAGCTGAAGACAATAATGTTCTTCCATGTCAAATGGTTGCATGGTGGTGGATAATACTTTCAAAGTGGAAGATATCAAACAGTAGATGAATAATGCAATGGCCTTCCATAAACAAAAATTAACAATTTGTCAATTGTAGTCATTGTCTTCAGACTGATTGATGATGAAGATATGTTAATTTACTAGCAGAGACTAATAATACTGTGTATAAAGAAACTCACATTCTTAAAAAAATATTGCACAAATGAAGTTTGCTCTCGATGGGTACCTCACAAATATGTGGGAAAGTATACATTGGAAACTATTTTAAAAAACGTTGATAAGGTGAGTCACTGTTTTAGTGCATCGTAATCCACAAAAGTTCAGCATATGTTACTCAACATATTTCTTAATCTTTACATCTTCCTCATTTCTGGCTGAGTGTCTGTGCACATCAACTTCACAATGTTAAAGTGACAGATATTGTAGCTACATATGTCAAATTTGTACCAAAAATTTTGTAACAATGCTGATTTAATTCTTGTTTTTCACTTTAACAAATCTATCATATTTTTGGAAAAACTATTGTTGTATTGACTTATCAAATGATCCCATATTACAGAATATTAAATATTGAAATATAGTAGAGCATCGATTATCTGACCCCCAATTAACTGTCACATCGGTTAACCGACCGTTCTAGTCGGCAAATTTCAAATGTCCACTAGTGATGTGGCATTATAATATTTGGCTATGTCTTGGCTACTTTAATATTATTTTTGTTAAATTTTTGCATGTTTTAGCTGGCATCAACGGCTCGACCATTGAAGGGAGGCCAATATTTAAACAAGACTTAATTTTCTAATTATGAGTGGTTGTTTGTTTTGTGAGCAATAAAATCATTTAAAAATAATTTTTAACGATACAATAGCGACGATTATTATTTTAAAAAAAATTTGTTAGGCTAAACATTGATGAAAATTCAACGCGAAGTTGGTTAATAGCGATATACTAATAAACTAATTACATGGGATATACTAATATTCTAATATACTATACTAATAATGTATTTTTTTCCTTCTTTTCGGTTATCCGACCAACCTGAGTCCCCAATTGAGTCGGATAATCAATGCTCTACTGTATTACAGAAAATGAAAATTCAGATTGACTAAATGTATATCAAAAATAAATATTTAGAAAAAAATATAGTTTTACTTTAATTTAAACATTAAAACTTTTCATATCATGACAGTTTTATCACATAAAATAATATTTTAACAATGAGATGCATTACCAGAAAACTGTTAAGCAACTTAATATCTTTTATTTATTTTTTTGAACAGTTGTTTTAATAGAAATTTGATGAATAGGAAAATTACTATTCTCTTCTAACCACACAATTCTTTAAAATAAATATTTCTTCCATAAACAGAGCTTAATAATAAGTAATAAATACTCGTGCATAATGTTAATTAATGTGTGTTATTAATTATGATGTAAAATAATCTCTCCAAAAATAATAAAACTGATAAGCAATTTTAATTGTCATAATTAAATACCATAGATTTAGAAGCATCTATAGTTAAAAAAAGGTTTAAAATTATATTTCAACATATTATGTTTTGAAACATTCAGTAGTTAATCTTTAGTGGTTTATCACTAAAGATTAAAAATTAAAGTTTAAACAGATATAGAATATAATCGAATGTCTTTCAAATCTATCATAATCATCTTTCCAAAACATTTGGAATAAAATAAATTTGCTTATTTGTTTGTGATATCTGTGCTTGAAACCTTGTCATATACATTTGCATTTGGATTGGTAGTGTCATTAAATTTCATCTTTTCTCTTGGCTGTCTTGGGAAATTTATCTTTCTATTTATAGTTTTTTACAAACCTGTTTCATTGTATTGTATAGAAAAATTTGTAATAATCCACAAATTACTTTCAAATGATCATAAAGTTCATTTTAGCAAAGTCTATAAAATATTCTTTGTTGTTCCAGAGTAATTTTTTAACATTCAAGTATATTTCTGTAAAATATGATGAAACAAAATAAATAAAACAAATTTTATTTTATTAAGAGACGATCAAAAGAAAAATGATGAAATTTCTAATACTGATTGAAGCAATTATTTAATGCATATAGTCACTAACAACCATGTGTAGTTTTTGAACCTGTTGTATTTCTTAAGCTAATCTGAGCATTGCTGGGTACATGCTATACATGTACTGTACAATAGTGTTTGAAAATAGTTTTTGTCAACATAATCTAATAATCTCACTTTTGAATTTAGTAAATGAGACATAGTATAAAAGCAATTTTAAGATAATATTTATTTCAATATTACTTTGTATAGGCTTTTAAGATGTACTCCTGTTTATTTAGTGTGTATGAAGTGTTCATTGGTTCCATTGTCTTGCATGATCTTGAATAGATGTATTAGCTGGGTTTTTAGAACATCAAGCTTGGTAAGTGCCTTAGGAAGATTTTCCTGCAGATCGTTTTGAAATGGGTAGAGGTGCTTTGGATTAAGTATTTGTCTGTGAATTGTATAAGGAATGGGATTAGTTTTGAAAATTTGTTAAAAAATATAAATGAACTTTATTAATTAGGGTTAAATAATTTTGATAATTATATTTCAAAGCTGAATAATAGCATATTTTCAAGCATGTTCTGCTAGTGGTATAATTATCTGAACAAATCTTTTTTTGATTTATTTAAAATGATGATATAAATTTTTATAACAATTTATAATGATAATATTCTTGTAATGTTATGGCAGCATTAATGCAAATTAGGTGTAACTCATTTACTTTTTTTATGTAATTACAGAAGGGACATTTGCATGTGTAGTATAGTTAATTCATCTTTGGATGCATATCATGTGCATCCAAACCATGCATTTTATGTTAATTGCATCCCAGGGAGCATCCTCCCTGGGGTGCAATTAACATAAAATGCATGGTTTACATTCTATTTACTAGCAATTAGCTTTGGTTGTTTGGAAGCATTTGTAGATAAAAGATTAATCTGATTCTTTCTTTTTACATTTTAGGTATGATATTATTATTTAAGTTTGTGTTTTCTATACTTTTTTTGGATAATTCTTCTACTTTTAGGTTTAATATTGAATTTACCCTTATGTCATAATTATAGGTTACATGTGTTTGATTTGTTTTAACAGATTTACAGATTTGTTTGCAGTATTTTTTTTGTATGCTTTCTTCCCACAACATGGTTGTACGAGTATGCTAAATAAATAAATAAATACAATTGTAAAGCATATATAAAATTTACATTGTACAATACATGTTACATATTGTACAGTTGACCCCCCCTATAACGTGGGTTTCTATAACGGAGATTCCTATAATGTAGCGAAAAAATTGTGACAGTATTCATATAAGGATGCTAAAAGGGACTCGTAAAACGTCGTCGCTGACTCGTGTCACAACAGGATTGATTGAATCTGGACTAATAGTGGATGAGCAGCCGAACTACTTTCCGCCGTCTAGCGCCATGCTACGGAGAGTTTAGGCGGGTAAGTTGAGTTTACTATCGTCTGTATAGTAAGTCTAATACAGTACTGTAATTTTATACATTTCTTGTGAAAGAAACATTTCTTATTCAACGGCCATTAAAATTATTTATATTAATGATGTCTCCAAAGTTCAACGAATTTTTCGCAGAAAAATAACTTATCAGAAATCGCGGCCGCCATTTGGTGCGCTGCTCCGTGATGAAAACAAGCTTAAGCAATGGCGACATCGAACGGTGCACACTCGGTAAGTAATCCTACAATCTTTTGTTTATAGCATAGTTTATACGGATTATTCCCAAAAAATTATACGTGTTTTGGAAATGTTGAGTNATCACTTAAAATTTTATTCAATTCATCAATAATTTAAAGTAAAATTGTAACATTTCGTGGGAAAGAGAAATAAAACTTTCTTTGTGAGAGATGTTATCACACATCTCCGTCGAACATCTGTACATTTGCGTCAGAAACGTATCCCATCAGATATTACGAATAATAAAACCCGACTGGAGATGAATTTAGGATAAAAGGCAGAGAAATCGTACTCTCAGGGCAGTCATCGATAATTAGAATCTGCCAGAATAGTCGGCAGACGACCATATAGAAGCAACTGCCATAAAGGAGACAGATGAGCCAGGAACGACTCTGCCATAGAGAAGTGTAGACCCAGGCAGAGAAACTAGCGAACTCTCTCCAATATAGTAACCCAATCCTCTAAGTTAATTCAAGTCTCTCTCTGAAAGTAACTCCATGCATCCAGAAGACATCCAGTAACCAGAGGTATTATTATGTGAACCAATTGTAAACTCTCTCATCTAGAGATGTATGTAACTTAGCTAGTCGATAATTTAATTCGTTTCGTTTATTGTTTATATCCGATCTATAACTATTAAAATTCTTTGTTATTTGTTATCTAACCTGTCTGATCATTTGATTTTTATGGACATCCGAACTGCCTACGATCGGAACTTACGACGTCTCCACTCGATAATTATACAGCCCTCCTTTTAAATATAGATCTTAATATCGCGCATTCATATCCTAGCTAGTGTCAGATCCCTAACAAAACCGAGTTTCCACGATCTTGTTGTCTTCCTTAATTTAAACAGTAATATATCGCCATCCAGTGACAGCGTGGGCGCGTCCTAACCTCCCGACGGCTAGAAGGTTCTACTTCACCCGTATTCTCACACTAGTGCACCTAGTTGTGTGTTAAAAATTAACATTTTTTTCTAGGAAAACAGTGTTTGGATTAGTACTAGCTCACCAAATTTATATACAGGTAATCCCATATAACACAGCACTTCTATAGCATGGATTCACTCTAACATGGTTTGAGAATTGGGAACATCCCCGTATAACACAGTGCTTTTATAGCATGGATTCACTCTAACAGAGTTCAAGAATTGGGTAAAACCCTCATACAACATGAAATGTAATAAATTTTCACATACTTAAGTATTAACAGTTCACAAAAATTATTATTTTCGTGAACTATTAGTATTTAAGTATGTAAATTTTCTTTTTGGCCTTCTGTCAATACACATAATCCTTCTTGAAACTTGTTTCAGTGTTGCCAGATCTAGACGCTTCTGATTTTGTGTTGCCAGATGTTTTCCCTTACTCCATACTTACTTTATTCTTCATAAGTGCTTAGCACCATATAAGGAAATTTATCAAGATCTTTTAACTAAAAGCAAGCAATCTAAAATAACATATTTTTTGCAAAAGGTAGAGCATGGATCTGGAGATAATGCAGAAAAATGCTCAGAGGATAAGGATATCTTGCCAAAAAGAAAACACCCTTGATTAATAGTGCTTAGTGATGACGAAGAAAACATTGTTCAATTTATATTAATATATATCGCTTAAGAAAATTTTAATAAAAATATTTATCTTAATTCTGAAAATATAATAGCATGTTTTTTAATTTTTGGAACCTAACCCCCCTTTTTGTACTAGTTCTTTGTTTCGTATAACATGGATTCTCATAACATGGCAATCTTTTGGAACATAACTCCCATGTTATACAGGGGTTACCTGTACATATAAATGTATTTTATAATAAATTATCGTATATTGCAATTAAATCAACATTAAAATAATATTGAATAAAAATATTATTTGATAATGATAATGACATTGAATATAATAAATCACAAGCTAGATAAAGAGAATTAAAAATTCAAATATAAAATAATTTTCTGTAATAAAAGTAAATACAATATTAATGTATCATAGACAGGATTGGTATATAATATAATACTTCAAAAACTTCCTATTAATAAATGCACTATTTTCTTTGTAACAGTAAAAATATAGAATGCAAGAAAAGCAAATACAGTGGTGCCTCATACTTCAAATTTAATTCATTCCAGGAGGCCATTCAAGATCAGAATCAATTTTTCTCATTAGAAATAATGGAAAGTGAATTAATCCATTCCCAGACTCAAAACAATATTCATTTTTATAAACTTGAAACAGCAAATACACATAATTTCAAATAAAAATAAGACAATTATATGTCCTAGTAATAAAGCATGAAAACACGTTTTCATGCTTTATTACTAGGACTTTAACAATGTGCCAAATTTTGGAATAAAAAATATTTCAACTTTTCTAAAGATATTATTGGTGACTTTGGACAAAAGAAAAAACATTAAGTATTTCATAATATACATACAAAATCAACAGATATGCTGTCTCATTGCATGGCCTACGCTTGATATCAAATTGTTTACTCCTTTACAGGTAACATAATGATTATCTACAAAAATTGGTATAATAATTTGATTTATTAAATATTGTTTAGAATCACTAACCTTAGTAACACAATCATTATTTATTTCTTCTTCATCGTCATCATCATCCTTATTTCCAGTTTCTCTATTTCGTAATCTCTGCTGTGCCCACTTATCATAACTAACCATAACTTCTTCTTCTAATCTTTTTTTATCATCTTCTGAGAGAGTATCATATGGTACTAAATATTTGCAATATGCATCATATAATTTTGTAACACGATCTTGAGCCTATAATTGAAAAAAATTGAAATACTTAAATAATATTGAGAAGATTTTATTATTTCATTGTCATTAGTAATTAATATGAAAAATCAATTAGATATTTCTATAAATTAATAAATTACACCAAGTAAAATAGCACAAAAATTCCAAAACCAAATAATAAGAAGATAAAATTTATCATCAAATTCAAATATCATGAATTTCAAGCATTTTAATACTTATTTATAAAATTTTAAAGTAATAAAATTATGCAATTAAAAATATTCAATACTAGCTGCAAGGATCCGCTTCGCTGGGTTTTTATTTGTGGGCAAAAAGTAACGATAGTGAAAATTAAGATAATTACATTATAGCCAATCTTACCCGTTTTCACAAAATGCAAGAATTAGATCTCCCGTTTCCAGAGAATTTTTACGAGCATAAAAATATGTTCGATTTCCCGCAAAAGCACAAAAAACCGCCTGTAAATCTTGCATACCGCTTTATATTAACACTTCCTGGTCCCGATTCTATTTCTGAACGTCTCCTGTTCACGTCCAGTCAAACAAACTATTTTCAACGTTTCTGGAACGTTTACAATCGTTCTATAATCGAACCAATATTCGAATTTTATGTTCGAATTAAATTCGAACAAATTCGAACAAAACATTCGAAATAGAAAGCCACTTTTAACCACTTTCAGCCTCATATCTCCCTCACCCTTATAGCTATCGAGACGCAACCACCCCTATGCACGAATGGAGACTTGGGGCTACCACCACATACAAACACCATTCACGTGCGATGTGTAGTTTTGGCGGAAAAGTGAAATATAGGGACATACATGTCCATTTATATATATATATAGATAAAATGTTAAAATTTTTTATGCCATTAATCAAAATATCTAAATTTCAATAGATGTAGAATTTATAAGAAGAATATACAGTAATACCCCGAACTTACGCGATAGGTAGGACCGAGTGATGACCGCGTAAGTCGAATTCACGTAAGTCGGGGTATAATTTCGCAATTTGTGTAAAATCCAAGTGGGATGTATATAAGCTAATAAATGTTCTCGTTAACCTTATCTCATCTTTTGATTCATTCACGGTTACAAGAAATCACCACATAGGGTCTCTCAAGTCTCCGTAGATATAACAAACACAGAAATAAATAACACAAAATAAATTGTAGCTATGTGTCGATTCCGTGCGACACATCCAAACATGTAAGCTGAACAATAGTATGAGGGGAGTGAGTAATCAAGAGTCGCGTGGTGCTCAAACAGAAGACAAATCGACGAGATTTGAAAATCGTGTAACTCCGGGTTCATGTAAGTCGGGGTAACATAAGTCGAGGTATTACTGTATTTTAATATATTACAATCATCATCTTCAAATCTCTAAACCTCATTCACATTGCTGTTTATATCAGTAATAGTTCTCAATTGCATTATTTAATAAAATTCTAGTTCTTTTTAAAGTTAATGAACATCACTAAGTCCTCTGTATTAAATATGAATTATGATCACCATAATTAATCAGGTTATTTTTCGCTACTATTAATAATTAGATATTAGAGAGGTTGCAGCTGAAGTTCAAATGTTAAACTTGTACGGCAAGCAGAAGTACACATTTGACGTTTGAACTCCAAGTAAAACACGTTGCACCACATGTTCATGTCATGCACTGACTCAAGGGATATCGTTGAAAAATGGCAGAAACATTTAACGACGACGAATGTTACCAGAGAAGGTAAATAAACAAATTAAACTATTTTTAAGTATTTATAGAATATTTAATAACACTAAATAATTACTTTTAATTAGCATTGTGTCACCTACGGTACAATAGGACTACCTCATACTTTTGTTGAGGGAAGTAGTGGCTTATGTAAATCTGAAAGCAGCTTGGAAAATTATTTTTAGAAAATTTACAAACGTATTATGCTGCTGATAGTAGAAGATGCTGTGAAAGAACAAACCTACTCCACAGAATTATGATAAGGTATTATGAACAGAAATATATGTAAATTCTATAGGCACTTCACATCACTTGCGAAAAAATTGAATAATTAAACAATTTCTGAATTAAAATAGTCTGTTTCTTTACAATATTATTCATAAATACTTAAATAATCATTATTTTAATAAAATACAACATAATTTTAACCCCAAAAAAAAAAAAAAAAAAGAAGTTTAAGCTGAACTTCTACTCGCCATGCTAGACGTAGCAAATGCCATTATCAACCTTCTAGAATTGCCAGATGGCAGCACTTGATGTCTGATGTTTACATTTTGGGCTGAAAACGTTGGCCGCAACCTTTCTATTAAGATGGCCGGATGGCTGCGCGGTCAAGGTGGCAGCCTACTGCTCTGGGGGACCCGGGTTCAAATCCAAATGGGTTGAAAAATCCCCAGTCCGTTAGGATATGTCGGGCCCATCCCTCACCATCCGGCAGCCCCATTGTGGGCCTGGCTGAACCCATAATGGGCTTGCAAAAAGAGGCCCTCTTAGTGCCCACAGGGCAGAAAGAGTTAGGAAAAAAAACCTCTTTATTAATTAATTTGGTATTAGAGATAGATGTTAGGTGCCATCTCTTTTCCAAATTAGTATTATAATAATTTAATATTTATTAAATAATTTTAGAATAGTCTGGAAGAAAAGAATAATTCTTGTAATACCAAATTACTTAATATCTAATTATTAATAGTAGTGAAAAATAGCCCAATTAATTACAGCAATAGTATGGTTTATTAAGTTAATGAACTTAATATACAACTGTACTTGCATATTCAAGCTTAAAATATTTTAATGAGTCATACATAAAAGTCTAGCAGTTACAAAAATATTCAATTGGAAATATTTTTCGCATACAATATGCCATTACGAAGCCAATATACCTTACAGAATGAAACAGGACAATATTTTCATTCTAAACTTAGAACATCATCTAATATTGACTAGAATAGAATAAAATTTAAAATTTAAAGTAAAGCTTACAGCTTTTGGTATGTGCATTGCATCTGCAACTCTCTGCCATTTCTTTTTTTCAATAACTTGCTGCAATCCACCAAAATGTTGCACAGTGTGATAAAATTTTGATAAATCCAGTTCAATACCACCAATCTAAAAAAAGATTACAAAAAATTAATCTAATTTTAATTTTTAATGAATAGAAGAAAAATATCTAATTATTTTAAAAACTGCAAGAAGCTATAATAATAAACTAATAAGAGATATAATAATAATAATAATAATAATTTTTACCATATTGAATGTGACTATAAATAAACAGCATAAAAAATTCTTTTATTGTTTAATGAGGGAAACAATTNTTTATACTTGAGGCCACAAAAATTTTCCATGGGGGAGCGCAGTTTGAAGAAAATTACATTAATAAATTTCTATTTAATTATTTACTTTTCGGGGATTTTTTCCACACGTAGATTATAGAGTGCAGTATTACATCAAAGCATCCCATGGTTTCAGAGTGTAAGGTTAAGTATTTCAATCATTTTTACGATCATAATTTGAATAATAAATTTTTACTCGATCCCAGGGAGGGATCGAGTAAGAATGTCCCCTTCTGTGGATGCCCATAGTTATAGTCATAACCTTTGAACTTTTAAACAGATATTCCTAATGCTACACTACAATTTCATATATACAATATACATATATATACAGTGAAACTTGTGTAAACCGGACTCGTACGGGACCGAATATTTTCCGTTTTGGGCAGGTGTTTTTTTTAACACAAAAAATTACTACATTCTTAAGAATTTTTCTGGTTTAGGCAGGTTTCTGTTTTATAAAGGTTCCATTTTCGACAGGTTTTACTGTAATTCAATTTAAGAAAAGATTGTAAAATTATTTTTTTTAATTCTTGAATCTATGTTCTTGTGCTACTAGTTGACACAACCTAAAACAAAAATCAATACAAGTTGACATATTATTGGGCTAACAGCTGACATAAAATCACCAACATCAACTGATATAGAAAACAGATATTTAATCCTATCACAAATTACAATCATTTTTGGTATTGGAAATTAATGTATTATTTGTGAATAAGTAATAATTCTAATATCAGATTCATTTTGATTAAAAACAGTCTTTTTGTCATCACAGCAATTCATTGCCATAATTTTGAGATTGTCTTTTAGTATCTTATGAGTAGTACACACATACAGTAGTGTTGTTTATCCGAAAGCTAGTTATCTGAAATGTCAGTTAACTGAAAGCATTCCAGTCGGCAAATTTAAAGTTTTGCTAGTGCTGTGGCACTGCAATCTTCGCCAATATCTTGGGCTAAGCCAATATTTTTTTTGTTGGTGTGTGTGTTTTAGCTGGCAGCACTGGCACTTTTGTGTGGTGTTTTTCTGAGGACTGTGTGTCTTGCTGAATTGAATGTTTTTGATACTAAATTAACTTCTAAAGTATAATTTTTTTTTGTTTTTATATTTTGCAATTTATTTATTTTGTTTGTAAAAAACAAAGAAATAATTTTGAATGATACAATAGCCATGAGTATTTAAAAAGTTTATGTTAGGCTTAACATCATTTAAAAAGTTTACGTTAGGCTTAACATCAACGAAAATTCAATGCAAAGCGACACACAACAGAGAAAAATTTCAACATGGGATAGGTTAATATATTTTTTTGTACATAATTGGTTATCCGAAAAATAAGTTATCCAAACAACCCCAGTCCCCAATTGATTCGGATAAATGACGCTATACTGTATTTGTAAAATTTTACTTGAAATTCTGATTATTCAAAGAAAAATATCTTGGAAATGTCAGCCATTAAGCACTGTCATGCTTTAGTGTCTTTACACCTTAATTTATTAATAAAACTGAAAATAAATTTTTATGATTTTATTAATGGCAATAAATATTGTTATAAATATTCTAGTTATTATTAAAATGATAATTTACTAAGCAATGTTAGAAAGTTGGTGTGTGTAATTTTATTAAT